TCTTTGTAATGAAATCTCCACGTCCCAAATTAATGTAAGACTTGCAGAATCAGGGTGTTTGGAATGTGGACCAATTGTTTTCTTGTGCATAGACTGTTGCATCAGTAGTAACAAGAAACGCAATAAATTCCAATATCTTGAAAAAAGGGAGATATACCACATATTCCATGCCAAGCTCACAGAAGTCCATCGATTTGATTTCATCTATAGTTTGAGCTTCATTAGGTTTACAATGCGTAGATGCAAATTGTCCAGCTTCAAGATAAAGCTATTAATTTGCTTAATGCTTTTTCTCTGGTTTCCTCCACTACAACTGCCTTGGAAAAGATACGAAATGTGGAAGATATCCAAAATCATCTGACAGCAGCCACATCTGTAGCACAGAAATTTCACATCGACCATTTTGACGAGTATGAGAGGTTCTACGGAAGAACACTTGTTCCCAGACGGTTGGAGGAAAATCGAGATAGTGAAGCCATACTGTCATTTGACCTTTTCTATAGGAAGGAAGCCTTTTCTGTCTTAAATCAAATTATCAACGACTGCAAAAGAAAACTGGAGGAAAGTTATGGAAAGATGAGGCCGTTCTCGATTTTAAAGCCACCTTGGAATAACCTTAGCGAAGAATTAGCAGAAGAATTGTCAAAGCTACAATCTGAAGCAGTCAAAGAAATGTCTGTGAAAGAAGAAGCTGGTTATTTAACAAATAAGAAAGCAATTTCTCTTCATGTTCTGCAGCATTTGTATTTTTATTGACCGCACCTGTCACTGTTGCAAGCAACGAAAGATCATTCGACAAGCTCAAGCTTGTTAAAACAAAGCTCCACAGCACAATGCTTCAGGATCGCCTAGAATCGCTTATGATTATTTCTTGCGACCATGACTATGCAGAGGAGCTTAACTTGATGGAAGTGGTGAAACATTGGGTACAATTAAAAAAAAGACATTTTGTGCTAAAAGTATAAACGAATTATAGACAAAACAAGATATCTTTTTTTGCTAAAAAATGTTGTTCGCTATTAAAGGCATTGAGTAATGATAAATAGACTGGGTATACCTTAAGTGCCAAAATCCGCTGAGTCATGATTTCCATGACTGCGATGCTATTGGTTGACCTTGAACTGGTCACATGAACTCACCTCGTACTGATTAACATAACAGTTTCCATCAATAGCAAGTTGTCAACAATGGATGCCAATATCACATGAAACAACAGCGATCACGCCGAAACCAAATGACCCCCTATAGAAAAAGCCTATTTACCATGACTCAATGCCTTTAATCTTGCTTTTTCATTGCATTTTGTCTCTTTAGTAATTTCAACTCTGTAACTATAGAATAACATCTGTAATGTGATATTTTTTTAAAGTTATAAGTTTAACTATATGTTTTACTCGGCCACCACCAAATCATTAACCCCAACTTTCTGGAGAACGGCTATCCAGAGGATGTTATTTCAGTTTACATTAAGGAGAAGATAGGAAATTTCTCGGCTGATGTAAAATTTGGTCCTCAAAAGTGCCCGGTCTTTTCTGTTGGCCATTACTAACAGGCCATTACTAATTGTTTCTTTGTCGTCAACCCACGTGTTGTTTATAGTACGAAAAAGGGCCCTTCCGTCCATTCAAAAGGACTGCGTTCCTGCCACACAAAAAAGTTCCGTTGTATATGAATTTACGTGCCAGTGTGATTCTGGCTACGTAGGACGTACTACTCAAAGATTGGAGGATAGAATAAAACAGCATGTTCCGGCTAATATTAGAAACAAAACTCGTCCCCAAAGAGAACAGCCACTTCGGTCTTGCAAATCTAAAAGTACAACTAAAACCTGCGATTCTGCTATCGGGCAGCATTTACTGGAAAACCCAGATTGTGCAAAAAACTATAATGGCGACATGATTCGGATTATTGGTAAAGCCCGATCGTCGTTCCACCTAGCAGTTTTGGAATCTATCTACACAAGCACAAAAAACCGCTACTGTGTAGACAAAAGGAGTTCGTTTTCAGCTTAGGATTCCATTGGTAACATTCTCAATAGGCAGCCGACACTGATTGGTCAACCTTAACAGTCATGTGCTCGTGTTTCTGATTAGCCTATTTCGATCCACAACTGGGTATATATATTTCCTAGCGTAGGGTTTTCGGTCTACGTTCTGACGTTTTGAACTCTGAAAAGTGTCAGACAAAAAGATTTAGTTTACTAAATTTTTGTTTTTTTCAAAGCCATTTTCAAGTTTTATACCACCAAAAGATTGTTTGAAAATTTAAAAAGTAAATGAAAGTCAGTAATGTCAAAGAAATAAGGCAAACATGGTAACTTTTATTTCATGGATTTACCTAAGATATTGATTTGGCAGAATGCATAGTTTCCAAATCTTTGATTGTTTGAGCGACCTAAATTCTGCACACCATCTTGACCAATCAGAATTCAAGAATATGACAACAGCCTCGCAGCTAGATTTAGGCCTATTTTGGATATTTTTACCACTTTCCACAAAAAATAAATGTTTAAAATGTGCTTAAGGATAACCTAAAAATTGTGTAAAAAATTTAAATGGTAATATAAAAAGGCAACCAAAATTATGTGAAAATTGCAGAGTGACTAGTTTCCGTTCATTGGTCTAAGCCAATAAATAGTTGGCATAGATTTTTTTTCATTTTTTCAAAAATAAGTTCGTTTTACACCAAGTTTGAATGGAAACTTCAGGCAGAAAAGTCTATTATCACTGTAATAATAACTTCGACTTTACAGACCTATATAAAATAAATTTGCCAAGCTTTCCCAAAACTTCACTTACTTCTGAGTATCTCTGTCATTATAGACCAGGCAGAGAATAGGGGAATGGTCGCCCGAGAGCAAAATCTATGGGACATAAAATGTGATAAGATAAGAATCCGCAAACTTTAAACTACGTGTCAAAAGTTGCAAAAATTAACAACGATCATGCAAATTTGCATTTTTTAATTATAGAATAGAGAAATTAAGGGGTGCAAAACAATTCAAATTTTCCAAAACAAAATTTGTTGTTGAATCCGTAAAGCATTCGTACTACTGCGAGGGCATATCTATACTTCGGAGGAGACAATCTCTTGTCTTTTAGAGTCCTCCGCAGTTTAGATATGCCCTCGCAGAAGCACGAATGCCTTACGGATTTAACAAAAAATAGACTTTTGGAAAGTCTACAAAACAACAGGCACGCAATGCAATTTCTCTCATCCGAGTTGTCTCCACAGTCATTGACAAGTTCGCACACTGCATACTTTGTAATGCACTTTCCGTTGTCACATTGGAATTGCCCTGCAAACAATTACATAATTTGAGAAATGGCCTAAAACAATCCACATTGGATTCATCTAAAGAGAGATTAGTTTTCAAGCTGCAATATTTTGTTTCGCTTTTGCGTTCCATAACAAGTACAACTGTCAAATAAGATCAATGGCCTTCATTTATGCCATGCGTTCTGACCAAAGGTATGTGGTGAATTACCTCCAATACCTCCAAGGCCCCACTGCGTCCCATTGATGTTAGTGAGCCATTGTTCTTCTGGGCAATGGGCTATAAAGGGCCATTGCTTGAAACGTATTCTTAACAAATTCTTGTTTTTATAAACACATTCTTGTTGTTATGGATCATTTCACTAAATGGTGTGAACCTTTTCCAACAAACGATCAGAATGCCATAGCAATTGCCAACATTTTAGTCTCAAAACTATTCTCAAGGTTGGGTCTACCTGTCGCAATTCATTCGGATCAAGGGCCTAATTTTGAAAGTAGCCTGACTCCTAAGGCTTGTAACGTTATGGGAAGTCACGCACTACGGCCTATCATCCGCAAGGGGACGGACTTGCAGAACGAAAAAACCGTACTCTACAAGACATTTTTTCTTCTTTTGTCTCGCAACAAAGAGAAGACTGAGACTTGTGAGTCGCTATAGCAGTGTATGCTTACAATACCAGTCCGCAAGAATCTCAGATTTTTCTCCCTTTGAATTAATGTTTAGTCACCCAGCCCGCCTTCCATTGGAACAGACATTCGGGATTCTCTTGAAGAATCCAATCCGAATATGCGCGTAATCTTTGGAAAACATTTGAAGGTAGCAAACACGCGGCACGGGAACATCTAGCAAAGGTTAGAAAACGGCAAAAAGATAGTTATGACAGAAACTCAACAGAAATGTGTTCCCTTTAGGGTCGGCCAGTGGGTGTGGTTAAGTCGCCCTAAACATTGGAAATTCGGGAAAAGGTAGAGGGGGCCATACAAAGTTCTGTCACAGCGCGGGGTAAATTACCAAACTCAGGCTAAGGATAAGAAGACCCTAGTTGTTCGCCATAATCAATTGAAGGTTTGTGCAATCCCACAGAACGGGGGTAAACCTGTTTGTCCTGTCCCTGAGACAGGGGAAATATAATTTATATATGGACCCCTTGTAAGAGAGAGGGGAACCTGGTCGTGCAAGTCAAATGGTAAACGACCATGACAGATTTGCGCATCCATCTCGCTTACGGCAAAACATCAGACCCCCCCCCCCCCCATGCACTATGGCGATTTAATAACGAAGTAAAGTAACGTACTTCAACGTAGACTCCCTCTCAAGGACAGTGATTCTTGCCCATATCCCTGTGTCTTTATTAATGGCAGTTTGCAGAGATTCTGTATCCCTAGGTTATAAGTGACATACTTCTTTTCATGAAATTCCCATATAATTGATGGCTTAAATTGATTCATGGACTTGTAGATTTCTGCATGTTTCTAATATGTATACAAAAACTGCCACTTCGAATAAGTAACATTTCAAAGGAACACTCATAATCTTTCTAGAGGATCTGGAGAGCACGTTTTGTGCGTGCGGTCAATCTCTTTGAATGCATCTTTGTTGCAGAATAGCCACTCTTGTCAAGATAACCACGTTGCAAATTGCTAATGCCTGCTCTCTAGATACATATGTATTAACCTAGAGAAGGCACGAGAAGTTCATGTATTTGGCCTAGAGAACATAGACCACTTTCGCAATGACGTCAAACGGCTTTTGATAGAGAGGTACCATATCGAAAACGAGAATACCGATGTTCCAACATCATTTCGCAAATAGTAAGCACTGCGATTCGAACTACTATTGGAAATACATCCGCTTAAAATTGATCTATTCGTGAAAATGAGTCAGAAAGAGCACTGTGAAATGTCGGAAAGTGTTTCCAAGAAAAAGAAGAGGTCTCTTGGACGTCAATGTGCAGCATACGGATGCTATAGCACTTTTTATAATACCGACGGAACTGCAAGCGGCCTACATTTTTTTGGATTTCCACAGAAAAATCCTGAGAAACTTCGTTGGTGCAATTTAATTAAAAGAGTAGATGGAAGAGATGATTTTAAAGTTACAAGCGCGACTGTTCTTTGTGAAAAACATTTTGCTGATGAAGATATCAAACGTAATCCCACTCACTGGCGTCTAGTTACTGGGACTGTTCCTTCCCGCAATCTCTATGAAAGTAGCACAATAGCAATAAAGCCTAAGTCACGCAAACCTCCGACACACCGTTCAATCCAATTGCCAATTGCATCTACAGTTCCTGGACCATCTTTCACTGTTGCTGAATCTGCTGCTACTGATTTTCTTCCAGATTTCTTTGAAGAAGCACTTGATGTTGCTGATAATTCTGTTACAATATCAACGCAAACAGATTTCTCTTTTGTAAATTCAGCTGTTTATCTTCCTTCTGACTCTGGTAATATTGATAATGAAATTATGAAAGCCTTTATTGAATCTGATAACTTCAAAACAGAAGCTGAAGCATTGAACCTAAAGATTTCTACATTGAACAATCAAGTGGCCCTGTTGGAGTTACAGATAGCAGAATTAAAGAAGTCCCTCTTTTCAATTGAAAAATTAAAAGCTGATGAATCTGCAACAAAGTTTTACACTGGTTTCCCTAACTTCTCTTCTCTACTGGCAACTTTTGAATATTTTGAACCAAAATTGTCTCGAATGCATTACTGGCGTGGTAAACAATCATCTCTCAATACTGATCTTGAATACCATGAAAAGTCTTCCTTAAAGCCTGGCAGAAAGCGCACACTTTCTCATCTAGAAGAGTTTGTGTTGGTGTTGATGAGACTGAAAGTTGGCTTGTTTATTTCAGATTTGTCTGATCGCTTTGGAATCTCTCCTGGTCAAGTTTCAAAGATCTTTACAACCTGGATTTGCTTTTTGTATCATGAACTCCCAACTTTATTTCCGTTTCCATCTCAAGACCTTGTGCGTAAAAATATGCCATCTCAGTTCAAAGATTTCCCCACAACTAGAATTATCATTGATTGTACTGAAGTTTTCATAGAGGTTCCATCATCAATGAAATCACAGTCACAAACATGGTCAGATTACAAACACCACAACACATGGAAGGCTCTTGTTGGAATTTCACCAGTTGGATGCATTACATTCATATCAAAGTTATGGTCTGGCAGAGTTTCTGACAAAGAAATTACTCTCAAATCAGGTGTGTTATCACTTTTAGAGGATGGTGACAACATCATGGCAGATCGTGGGTTTGATATAAAAGATATCCTTCCTCCTGGTGTTACTTTAAACATTCCTCCTTTTAAAGGCACAAGAGCACAGCTTTCAGCAGAGGAAACTGAAGAAACAGCCCGAATTGCTTCAGTGCGGATACATGTAGAAAGAGCCATAGGAAGAGTTAAAAATTATCACATCCTTGATGGTGTTTTACCTCTTTCACTGTACCCTGTTGCTGATCAAATCTTCACAGTATGCTGCCTCCTTACAAACTTTTTACCTTTTTTAGTAAATTCAAATGATAACTAGGTGAAGCAGAAATAACAAATAGCAAGTCACCATTTAGGTATAACGTTTAATAATATATATATATTATATCACCAATAGAATTTTCTGCAAAAAATAATTATGAATAATTATATATATTTGTATGGCTCAGTGGAATTAGCGTTGGTTTTTGAAGCAGCAAACTGGAGTTCGATTCCAACCACGAGTGGTTTGATACAATTGGGCAGCACCCTTGTGGTAATAATTTTCCTCCTGTCAGCCTTAATCTTATGATTACATATATATAGTATACACATAGTTGTATGTAATGAAAATTTCTGTTTACTGGTCTGTCATATAGTGCTAGATGTTGTATAGGCAGAGCTGTACACATTTTTTGTCAATAAAACAGGATGGTTCTAAGTTGCTACATGCTTAATGCAATCATTATGCAGCTGTATATACAAATATGTTCGAAATATCATATTTTATCAAAATAGTTGTCTAAAATGCTTAAGTATCTAGTTGATTGTCCAAATCATAGTATTCCCAATAATGTCATAAATACATATTATCTGAAAGTATATTAACTATGATGTTATACAGTGTAGATAAACATATTTTCAACCTTTAACAACTGTCTGTACAAAGATATCTAATACAATCATATTGTACAATGCAAAAACGGCTTTGTGTGTATATTCCTGTCAAGTTTTTAAAATTATCAAACGTATAGAATTAAGAATGTTTTGTGATGGCTAGCTCAGTAGTAGAGATGATATTAAATACTTCTACAAATACTTATCTTTTTTTAAAATAATACATACTGGTCTATTACTTATCACTTCAGATATATTATCACTTCATAAAATATGCTTTTTATCAAAATTCTCCCAGCCACCATGCAAATATAATTTAAATCCCTGTTTAACACGCTTTGTGAAAAACTCAGGGAGAACTGCTCTACAAAAAAAATACTTCAGTCTTGGAAAAACATAATTGACCATAAATTCTTCATCAAAGCAAATGGTTTCAACAAACAATGGCCTCCCAGTTCCAAACCAAACTACAAAATCAACTCTCTTTAAGTTTGCACAAAACATTTGGCCTTGAACTTGGTAGAAGTATGCATGCTTGCGCTTCAGCTTAAAATTACCACCATCTTCAACAAGAAAGAACTTCTTATCCTTCAGAGCTTCTTGAAGAGACATGTTGTACTTGGAAAATGGACATTTGATTTCCAATCCCCATGTTTCATTTTTGTAAGTAACTACACCATCTAATGAAGCACCAAGATAAGGAAATGAGGAAGACAATTGCAGACCAACATCAGAAACTTGAGCATTGATACCTTTATCTTTCAGTAACATTATATAAAGCTCTTTAACATGTCCTTCGTGTTTCTGGCCATGGCAAGTTGCAGCTGTTGTGAAAGTTTTATAAAACATAGAGTTAAGCTTAGAAGAAGGTTCAACAGAGTTTACAGCAGCAGAGTAAAAATTGGATGCAGTGATACGATACATTCGATGCTTTTTCCAATCATCATTTGAACCTTGACCATGTGTTGTTTTTTCAATATTGGAAATTTCTTCTTGGGACAATGTTGTGTTTTGGCAATAAATGTCCATCATTTCTTTGAAGGAGGAAGTTGAAATATCGTAATATTCATTGAAGGAGATGGATTCGTAGAAGAAAGGATGTTCAGGATTGGATGCAGTGGCTTCAGTTAAAGCAAGTGTGTCAGAATCTGCAGGTTCAGAAATTTCATGAAAGCCAAAAAAACCACTGTTTGGTAAAGCTTCTGCCAATTTCATTTTGAGGGCTTCAAGTCTTTTATCATCAATAGCTTTATCAGATGGAGCACGTGGATCAAAGGATTTATAGTGAGACAAATTACTTTTATCATTGTCCTTTCCAAACTTGATTTTTTGTATTATCACTTCATCTATTGGAGAGGGATTGATGGATTTAAGAGCAGTTGCATTTGGAACATTCCAAGAAGACAGCTTTGAAGTGCATGATACAGCAGATGGATACTCTCGTAAACCACGTCTGTTGAAGTCTTCAAGAGCAAAGAGAACACCCCCAACATGGTTGCAGTTGCCAAAACCACCAAGACCAATACCAGCAGGACAAGTACATGCAGCAGAGCAAACATCACCAGAATTGATTGACAATTTTAAAATTACTTTGTATAAACACTTCTTCATTGAAGCTTTGACTCTGACATCAAAATAAGAAAAGTTGTTATCTGTTGCAACGTCAATCTTCTTTATAAACCCTTCATAAAAGAACTGGAAAGCTTTCAGCTTCTTATATGATGTACTTTTCAAAAGAATGTGCTTGAACTTGGACGTTCTTATAACCAAATATTCGTACAACTGCAGAAAATTAAAAGCCGGTGTTCCACGTAGGTCAGATGTCCATGGAAGATGCTGACATTGCTGATGGAATGCTTCGTAGGTGTATTCTTTCTCATGGCAAAGGAGAGAGGATTCATCTAACACATCTTCAGAATGCACACTAAATGTTTTTGCACGGCAAAATACGGCAAACGTGCGAAGAACAAGATCGGCCTTAACACCGGATGTTTTCTCCTTGTAGCGCTTCAAAATGCTCTTTAATTCCGCTACTGTTAATGACCCCAAATCTTCCAAACACTCGACAACTTTTCCTTCAGGAAGCAACGATTGAAACTCTTCCATTTCAAGATCTTAACTGCTCAAGTTTAATCAAACAAACGCTTCTAATTTTCCAAACAAGATCGGTGTTTCGATAGTTGTGCGAAAATGCCAAGGCAACTGGAACATCGGTATTCTCGTTTTCAATTTCGCACCTCGTTTTAAAAAACCTTTTGACGTCATTGCGAAAGTGGTCTATTGAATTTGAGTACCATCGTCTGTTTGATGCTCGTTGTTGCTGCCTCTGGTCAAGTTGAAGATGCGGTAAGTAGTCAATCCATCATATTAAAGATTTAAACTTTGCAATTCGGTAACAAAACAATGGATATTGATATCAAGCGATTTTAAAGGTTTCTTTTCTTATCAGGCATAGCATTTTTTAAGGAATTTTTACTGGGAGGAAAAGTTGGTGGATTAAATGATGTAACATAAATAGCAAAGGGCACCCCCTTTTGATTAGCTTAGAATACACTTGAAAAACCTCTTTAAGCCCCGGTCAAACGAACTTAACATTTTACTGAGCAACGCTCAACATGCCTGCTCAGTGAAAAGTTCGTTTCGTTTGACCACCAAACTGAACTTTGCTAAACTCGCGTTTGGCTAACTTGCGCGGTAGATTCAAGTTTTGCACCAAAAATATCTTAAGAGTTTTGGTGGATATTGAGCTCACTAGAACCGTCAAGCTCGCCATTTTGACAACATAAAAAGAAGGCCAAAAGTTTTGCGAGAAACTTTTATTTCTTGTTGCAGAGGCTTGACCACCCTGTACTGAGCAGCACGCTGAGCAAGGCTGAGCGAAATTTGCAATTGTTGAGTATTGCTCAATGCGATGTTCAGTTCGTTTGACAGGGATTTTACAGTCATTTTCTTGCAATCGTTTAAAGCCGCGGTCAAATGAACTAAACATTTCTCTTGGCAGATCGCATTGGAAAACTTTACCTCCGTTCTCTTTACACATTTCATGTAGCACAAATACATTTCAAAAGTACTTTTTGGTTATGCAGTTGGCAAGAAGTTGCAAAGGAACTGTAGGTGGCATGTTCCTCTTGTGCCATCCCGAGTCCTATGTCTTTGTACATAATACCTCGCTTCGATTGATTTACATAGGCCTGACGATTCAGACGATTGGCATGCAAACTATCCTTTGGTTTTCCTTAATAGCTTTTGACTAAATCTAAATCTATAGGACTCATTTTGTTTTTAAACATTACAAACACCATATCTACACTTTTTTCATATTTTGATATATAAATAAAAATTCAAGGTAATGCGAAAGTCATCGAAACTTAGACAGAAATGGGGGAATTTTGAACGGTTTTTCTTCCATAACTTTTGGCAGAAAAAAGATAAAAATACCATTTGGAATGTAATCGGTGGAGCATGGTGTGGCTCATGGTTTTTTATAGTTTGCAAGAGGTAAGAAGTTATTCGAGAACATTTTCAGCGCCCGAATGTTGGCAAAATCGGAATTTTCCAGAAACCGCTCTTCGGTTTTCCTTTAATAGCATTTTCAAATTTAAATTTTTCGCCCAAACACACATCAACTTCTTTTCTCGATACCTGCTACACTTTTTTTATAGTCTGCAGTCGATTTTTGCACTATGTTATGTTTTCAGTTTGTGTCAAACGTAGGACAATTTTTCTAAAGTGCAAAATCCGCCTCAAATCACGTTGTAGACTTGTGTTGATAAATCCTGCGAATCGCTATCACATGAGTCGGTGAGTCGCCAGTTGTTGAATATTCACCAAAACATTGAATTATCTCTCTCTTTTAAAAAACGTTCTACGTTACATTTGACTTGTGAGGTTTAGGAAAATGAGATACTTTTTATACTTGTGACTGATGCCACAACCTAAATCTGACCTAAAACAACTGCCGTTTAGGCGATTTAGCAGAAATGTAGCGGTACTGATTGCTTTGGTGATCCATTTAGGACGCCTAACGATTCCATAACATTCGCTTGAAAACAGCGAAAATCTCACTACTCAGCCCCTCAGGGGTAAACAAAGGCCAGTTTTGGACGGTGACGTGCCATTTTTGTTCAAAATATGAACCCATAATTTCACAAACACTATGAAAACTATACTCGTAATTCCGCAAGACAGTAAAAATTTCTCAAGCCGCAACAAAATCATCAAACAAATTTTGCATGGCCTTTGCCCAAAATCATAATATTACCCACATATTTCATACTTTCATTTCTAACTGGACATTCATTTCGTTAATGCTAAATTTCCCAAATATTTTCTAAATTCCTAAATTCCTGAATACGTCCCGTACCTCAAAACCTATTAACGTAACCCCCCCCTCCCCCCTCTCTCCGAGCCCTGCTTATCTTTTACTCTCATAAAGCCCCGTACGCCGGGGCGAAATATTAGCCTTTACTGATTTACATACGTGTATTTATTGTTGCTTATTCTCGGCGTATTGCGGTGTTTCATATTTGCTACATTTTTATCGACTTTTTACCACAAGAACTCCTTGGAGCCCGTCGAGCAGCCTGCTACAGTGGCCTTTTCTTCATTTACACAAAGAAGAAATTGTTGCTGCAGGCCTGGTTGCTCTAATGATATAAAAGCGCTAGATGTCTAACTTGACCTAATTGCCTATGGGGGTGGTGAGGCAAAATCACTCAAGCGGAAATACTGGCAAAAAGACGATTCCGCATAAGGGCTCAGTACGGGAAATTGCAAGGAGGACGAAGGAAAAGCAATATTTTTGAAAATCGGCATAAATTTGAAAGTTCAGCTATACTGTATTAGCTTGCCATATTCATTTTGAAGTTTTAAGCTATAAATTGTTTTGGTAAATGGGGTTTTAATATTTTAAAAAAAATTTCTTGCTGCAGCGTTCGTAAAGGCAATGGCGTTGGCAATGTTTACGTTGACAAAAATATTGATTTCAGGCTTATTCGAAAAAAATCATTTATATGAGAAGATATTGTTAATACTTCCGGTCTAGAATATATAGTTTGGGTTTTTATTGAAGATAGGCGAGCAGCATTCCATAGTTTCGTGCGAACAAAGAATGCCACTTTTATTATTCTTCTATTCTCTTTATATATAAGATTCTAAAATAGATTTATATTTAAAGTTTTGATAAACAATTGCAAAAATTCGGATGTTAAAAACAATATTCCCTTACTGATAGTTGAATCCTACGATTCACTGCTAATGTCAATTCATGGGCGGCGCAAAAGAGGCTGGGGGCTTCAGCCCCTACACTTTTTTACAACTAAGATGATTTTCAACAAAAAATGAAATTGACTAACAGAAAATGATAGCGAAATAAATCCTTTAATAGACTTAATTTCAAAGGAATCAGGCTGTTCGGGTTTGACTTCGTTTTTATTCGTATCAAGGTATTTCTCATAGAGTTTCATGGACAAACAGATACAAACAGGGCCACATTTCCCATTGGGGTTCATAGGCCTACTAACATATTGGTGCCCCAGTTTTATATGGTGTCAAAGGGTTCCTCCTACAAGTATCTGTTAGTACCAAGGCCCACGCGACAGGGGGGGGGAGCAGAGGAGACACGGCCCCTCCGCCTTTTTGCAAAGCAAGTAGTTTTAAAGCTGCAGTAAAAGGGGAAGGAAGCCTTGACCCCTGTTTTAGTTTAGCCTTGGCCCCCCAATTTCAAATTCGTGGCGTGGAAAAATGTTTCCGCTGAAGAGGTACCAGAGGCACATGATGAACCTCCACCTCAAGATGATAACCAAACTTCAAGTGTCCTTTTTATAACAATGCAATTGAATCTTTGTCAATAATTTTAGGCTTAGGCCCTCAATGAGGGCACAGCCTCCTTTTCTGCTCTTATTGTGAGGAGAAATAGCTGTGCCCTGCACGAGCACAAACAGGAAGCAAGTCAAAAAAATCTACCTGTAAAAGCAACCCTCTATAATAGCTCAATTTATATTCGTAAAATGATTTTTGTTATCGTGATTTCTTTGTCTGTGATTCTTTGCGAATAAGCCCAAAAGCAATAATTGTGACAACATAAATAATGGCTAGGCCGGTGCCGCTGCCGCAGCCCGCAGCAAGTAAAATTTTTAAAAAATCCTAAAAACCCGTTTGCCAAAACAATTTATAGCTTAAAACCTTCGAAATGAATATGGCAAGCCGATACTGTATAGCTTACCTCTCAAGTATGCCGATTTTCGAATATACTGGTTTTCCTTCTTGGAATCGTCTTTCTGCCAGTATTTCCGCAAGCACCTTAGATATCTAGCAAGTTAGATATCTAGCGCCTGCGGTGCTTCTTTATCATTGGTTTGGTCGCAATATTTTCCAATGAGAGGCTAACAGCTTTTTGTCCAAATCAGCCTTGTAAAACTCACAGACCAACCTCTCAAATTTGTTACCATCCCAAGCGTAAATCAACAAGTTCTCCAAACGAATATTTTTCTTGTAGCCATTCTGATAAATTCTTTCTTTTACGGAAGAGATAATTAAGACCCCGTTTACACTGTCCCGGGACAATTTTGTACCGTTACGGTTCGCAAGTGTTTACACTGTCGCGGTTCCAAATTGTTCCGTTTAGCCGTTCCGTTTACACTGTACCGGTACGACCTTAATTTAATGGTAGAACATTGTTTAGAAGAAGCTGTATTTAGTCAACCAAGGCTTTTATTTTGCCGCTGAAGTCAACAATCGAATTTTTATTGTGAGTTAAAATGGAGCGGAAGGCCGATTAAAACTTTACTTGGACGAAAGACAAGGTGGCTTTAATTTTCAGTGTTATTTTAGACTACAAAACTGCAAAGTCCAATCAAGGCTTGGACTGGGAAACACTACAAGCCTTTTCTGTGGTCGTCTTTTCTTCAGAATTTCCTTTTCTTCAGAATTTGAGAACTTAGTTATGTTATGCCACAATCAAAGCCTCGATTACCTGAAACAGCCATACAAAAGGCCTCTTTGTGAATCCGTGACAAAATCGTCTCGGATAGGTGTTTACACTGTCCCGTTCAAAAACGGAACCGTGACGGTACAAAATTCGTTCGCTTTCAAAGCAGGGTCAAAACTGTTCCGGATAGCAGAGCAAAATCGTCACGGTTCCACAGTGCTAGTGTAAACGCAAGGGCGAACCGCGACAGTTTTGTCACGGTTCCAAACTTGCACGGGACAGTGTAAACGGGGTCTAAGTTTAAAGCTTGGTAGTATATTTATTGATAAGAACTTTTTAACTGTGTATGAAACTTAGCACGTGCGTTGCCTTTCCTTTCTTTATAACAAACAGGCCCTTTTTTGATCGGGGAAACCAT